AAGCTAAGTACATAAATGAATTAACCATATTAAAATAAAATTAAACATAGTCTTGATATCTGCGTGGCGGACCCACGCTCCTCTTTGAACGGCGCGTTGCAATTGTTCCTTCGTCGTGTGTTACCGGGGCCGTGTCCGTATCAATGAAGTTCAAATAACAGAACTTAACCATCGATGCCATACAATTCACAAAGTAAGCAAAAATAACAACTGAAGAAAAAATACATTACAAAGCACAAAAACCATTACAAAGAGTTTCACACGTTTCCCTTTCATCCTCATCCTAATGACCAAATGAAGAAAAAAACCATTGAATCAAGTGATGATGATACAAGAGACTCTTTAAAGTACAATTTAAAACCAAAACAGATCAGCTCACCCTGGAAATCGAGGGTTGGGCTGCCGGCGCTGGAAATCGAGGGTTGGGCTGCCGGCGAGGGAGGTGAAGGGGTGGGGACACGACGCTTGAGGTGGTGGGGCCGGTGCGCAGGAGGGCTGGGGGTGCGCTGGAGGTGGAGGGTTGGGGATTTTGCCGGCAAGCCAAATTTGGGAAAGAAGAAGCGGGAGAAGGGTTGGAGAGAGAAGCGGGAGAAGGGTTGGAGAGAGATTAGATTTGGAAAAAAAAAAAATAAAAAAAAAATTAATTATATATTTGGTAGCATGCTTGGAGGCACACTTGGTGCCTCTTTAGCATTTTCCCTAGATAAATAGTGTATGAGGTAATCTCGCTTTATGAAGTTTTTTTTAATTGAATTAAACCTAACAACCAGTTTTTATATGACCTCACTCGATGGATACTTGCTGAGCTAATATTAAGTTGAAAGTATTACGACTATTTAAGTCGAAATATATACTCGTGAACATTATCCGTATTCAAATTGGCAAATATTTTATGTAAAATCCTTAAAAAAATTCAAGACTTTAGAATAATTAGCCGGTTTGGCATTAGAATGTTTTAAGTGAAATTTGCACTAAATAGGATTAAAACATAATGACTTTTCTAATGTAGGACTTAAACTTTTTTATTCCCTAAATAGGACTTAATAACGACCTTGTGGGAGGAATAATGTCCAGTAATGATGGACATTTACTTGAATAATGACTACTTGATAATGACCAAAAGTCCTACATTGAGAAAATAAAAACATATGATCCTATATTGGGAAAGTCATTATGTTTTAGTCATATTTAGGTAAATTACTCATGTTTTAATTTAAAATACTATCTAACAGCAGCATTTAACCTTAACATTTTCGAAGTTAATCTACACTAATAATTAAAATTCTAGAAAAGTATTCAGGGTACCATCGATTTTCTAGCAATAACTCACAGGTCTCACATTATTTGAAATTGTACTACGGGTACCCTCGATTTTCCAGTAAGATTTCTTAGGTCGCACATTATCTGGAATGTACTCTGGGAGCCTTAAAATTTATGATATTATACTTTGAGGGTATATTCCATCCACTTAGACTATAGGTCGAAAGTTCGTTTACATTGCGAAATTGAAGAATGATAAGAAAACATGATTCCGAAACAAGGCCAATATCACCCATATCCTATGTTTGCCGGATTCTTCAAATTGGTGCCGCTTCCCGTATCCGGAAGTTCTCTATTCGGGTAATTGGGGGTGCCCCCACACCCAAATCCTTTATAAATTATTGAAAAATTTGACGTTTCACGCTTCCTACCCCGTTCTCTTATAAGTTCTTGTCCCCGTCTCGGTGCAACTTAACCGGCCACATCTATATGCATACATGCCACTATACTACACTAGGCAAATTTATACAAGCACCAAATGTTCATGGTGGTCGTGATATATAGTAAATATGTATTTTCAAGTGCTGAAATAAATATTTTTAAAATTAAAAAAAATATGTGAAAAAGTCTGTCCACCGTAGAATCACTATGCTACAATAGTATGAATTTTTCACCCGGGATAGAAGGTAATAGTGCAATAAATTAGTCAGTGGTGTAGTACAATTGTATTGGGATTGCTATTGAATTCTTTGCATGGTTACCTATCAGACATTCCATCTCATTTGGGCCATTCAAAATTTCTGTATATTTATATAAATCCAAAATATGTCTGGCATGCCCCTGCACAAATGTTTCAATTTGTGCATTTTTACAGTGGATTATATACTCTGCATTTTAAAACTGCAAAAGTTTTACAAATATATACGGAGTCAGTGACTTGACTATAATTTTTTTTCTTCAAATTACCAATAAAAAAGTGTACTCTCTCCGTCTTAAAATGATTTTCTCAGTTCGGTTTATGATGTTTGTCTGAAATTATTTTCAATCCAATTAATTTAATTATAGGTGTAAATTTAAAAATAAAAAATATATATTTTAAAACTACATCAAAAGTTCTACAAAATAAGAGGTGGCGTGGGTATATTATTTTATCAAATAACTAACGAAAATATGTAAATAAAGTAATTCCAGTTTGACCATGTGAATAGTGACTGAGAAAATCATTTTAGGATAGAGAGAGTAATAAGTAAGGAGGAATGAAACAAAGAAGTAATAAAAACAGAATTTTGCTAGAGGTATACCAACATTTGTATATCAGTTGTACATCATGTTTTTTACGGACACACAGATCGACACCAATTGTCTATGACTGCACAGACAATTATAACTATTATCTGTGTGTGTCTGTGACAAATGTGATATACAATAAGTGTATAAATGTTAGTAGACACCTACTTTTTTGACAAAAAGTTAAAAATAAGGTGAAAAAAAACACAGTCCACAATTTTGCAACCACTATAGGCTTTCCTGGACATCATTGCTACACTACCCAGCATCAAAAAAGATGTCACAGTGATGAACTCTTTTGGATTTTGCCCATTTATAGAGAGAATTGTATGTGAACACAAAGCATGTAGTAAAAGCATCCCAACTACTAGCCACTCCTTCTCTCAAGTCTAATTCCACACATTGTCTATCCCATTTTAATTTTTACATTTCTCAAGGGCAAAAAAGAATATCTCATTTCCATGACATTGCATCTCAATATCATAGGATGACCCGGATACTTTATCGGAGGGTAGGAGCCGTCAATTTTACGAATAGGATACCATAGGATACCCGGATCATCTCATTATATTGAGATGCAAGGTCATGGGAACCGCCCCTAAAAAAGAATTACTCCCATAACAATTTTCACGAGTCTACCAACACTTTGAATATTTTTTTTTTTGAGAAAAAACATTTTTTTAAATATAAATGGTTGACTAAACAACTAGTCCTTAGAGCACTGAAAATACCCATGAAGCCCCGGGGCTTCAAACTGGGGTTTCAAACCACGTCAACTTTAACTTACCTCAGAGTTTCAGTGGAAATGGGTTTGAAGCCCCGGGGCTTCAAACTAGGGCTTCAAACCATCATTTTTTACATTTTAAATACACATCTTCTAAAATTAAATTAATAAAATTTAATTATTTAAAAGAATTGAAACGAGTATAGTTCATTAAAAAACTACATTCATTATAAAAATTGCATTCATTAAATAAAAAAATTACATTCATTATAAACAATTACATTCATAAAATAAAAAATTACATTCATTATAAAAAAATTACATTCATTAAATTAAAAAATTGCATTCATGAAAAAATAAATAAAATACTTGAATAATAATTTTTTAAAAAAAGATGACACATAGAGAGAGATTTGTATTTGTGTTGAATTTTTTTAAAAAATAATTTATTTTATAGGAAAGAAAAGAGGAAAAAAGAGGGAGAAAAAAGAAGGGAGAAGGCGTTCCAACGCCTTCAAACCGTGTCAAAAATTTGACGCAGCAATTTTAACGAGGCCATAACGGGAAGGGGGCGGTGTTTAACGCACCCCAGACGTCAAAATGAGCTTAACGTGGTTGGGTGTTATGCCCATTACCATTGCTCTTAGGGGTGTGTGGTATATAGACTTTTGGAACGTCTTTTTGGTTTTGAAAAATCTAAAAACTGCAAAATTCTAGTTTCTCAGGCTCCGTTTGGTACACAGAATTCAAACTATGGAATTGGAATTGAGTACTTCAATTCCAATTCTCATGTTTGGTAAAACAAAAATCATGTGGATTTGGAATTGATAGTGCAAAAAATGAATGAGAATTGGTGAATTCAATTCTATGGAATTGAATTTCATGAAATTTTAATTTCAATTCATTTCCAATTCCATCAATTCCGTGTACCAAACGGACCCTCAAACTTTTTATAAACCCCAAACTTTTTATACCGGAGTAACTTTTTATAAACTTTCTGTAGCTTCTTACGTTAAGAACCCTAAATAGTTCATACAAGCAACTCATTTCACCCAAACATTTCGCTCATTTTGATTTTACGGAAATTTTAAAAAATATGTTGAGAAAATATTGAGTAACGAAAACTGATGGAGTAGAAAGTTTTATTTTTATTACAAATATTTTTCTAAAAACAAAATGAAAATGAAAAAAATTACTTTGAGATGAACAGAAACAAAAAATGGAAAAAGTTTTGTAGGGAGATTTGATTTTTCTAAATAACTTTACAACTTAGCTACCACAAACATTCGTCTCTTAGCTTCCCTTTTGGTGGAAAAACTCAAGATTGTATTTCATATTGGGCTTGGCTGCTATTTTTATAAAGCCCAAAACTGCATTGCATTGATCAGTCCACTTAAGGTACTTTCCTTGGCCCATTTCACTGCTGGTCTATGATTGGAAAACGTATATTTAGTTATAATATACTCCGTATAGAGTATTTGGCAAAATTGTTTTCTTTATAAAATTAGAGTAGTTTTAAAATTTCAAATTTTTATAACATTTAATTACTTAGAACTGCATTTAATTTGGGGTCACAATTTTTGTGTAGTTTGACCAAAAAAATCAAATTGTGGTAATATTTTTTATGGAATAACATCTAAACATGAAAACTGTCAATAGTAACTTTTATTTTGGGGAGGAAAGGTTACAATGAGCACATTTGCACAAGCAATTCAATCCACATTACTAGAAAAAAATGCCAATTTTAGTTCCACAATTCAAAAAATATTTGAATTTGAGTAGATCATTTCCATATTTGGTCTTTCACTTCTGCATTAAGTGTACAACTATCAATTTGATAACACGCTACATTCGTTTAACTAATCTTAGTCGCCTCATTGCCACCGCGATTAAACAGAACAGAGACGTACCCAGAAGTTAGAAAATGTGTTGAGAAAACAAAGTTTGTCATCAATTCATCATCATCCTTTGTACTGCCATTCCCTTCGGCACATAGGGCAATGAGCTTGAGAAGTTTGCGAATTCACCCATTTCAAGATGCAATGGAGATGAAATGCATGGTTGCAAGCTCCCCAAACTGCAAAACCAAACAAAAACGCACAAATAAGCAAACCATAGTGTGACTACTACCAACGCAACCACAATGCCTGGAATTAGCTTCGGCCTTCAGGGTTTGACGACTCTAGGCCTTCGAAAATGTTATCCAATGGCAACTTTCGACTTCAGAACTTTCATAGTTAATTTGTATAATCTAATGAAAATCACTAGTGTTGCTCCGAAACAAAAGCCCATAAGCAAAATGATGGAATAAAAGAACAATAAGATTGTGTCATGTCAGTTGTGCCATATCATTGAGTCCTCATCACCAAGTCTTTTGTTAACCTTTTTTTTACTTTATTCTCCTTGGAGGCCTTGTTTCCTTTCCTGGATGTTATATCGAAAAAAGCCTCTTTTTGTATTGAGGTAAGGTTGTGTACATTTAGACACATCCGGCCCCAATGGGATTATGTATTAACTAATATTCTGCAAGCATATTGAAATCAACTAACTTGTCATACCCTCCAAAGACGTCACCGCCCAAAAACACAAATATAATAAAAAAACATAAGTACTAATACATTCAGAGTATATATTTTATTAGATGAGCAACACAAAATAAAGTGGGAGTAAGATGTTCCGAGGCTTACTTAATGGGCAATCATCCCCGGGGATTTTACAATCAGGACAGCAGCCATCAAACGCCATTCTACATATCCCACAAGTTTCATCCTGTGCATCCCATGTCCATGAGGCAACAGCATGCCACCTGCGGTCCACATTCAAGAAACCCACATAAACTATCATCATGTGTCTTTGATTAAACATAATATAAATATATACATCATGAAAGAGGTGAAGATGGATAAAGGGCATACTCTTTTTGTAGCGTCCAATAGCACATTGCAAAATTTATGGTCAAGGGTAAACTTGTTTCACAAAAACAACAATTGAGTTTATATCATAAAATGCTATGAACTTATGGAATCTCAACTTCTCAAGTAGTATTTTGTCCATGTGTGCATGTAAGTAACAGAGAGCAACTCTAAAATATGAACCAACAAAAATATAATGCAACAACAATAATACGGAGTAGTTTATAATGTACACAACAACAATCTGAAGTAAACATTATTGCAACCAAAAGTAAATGCATCTTAAGAAATCAAATCTTTTCTAGTACTCCGTAGTAACAATGTGCTCTTTTCAAGAACAGATAGCAAAATAAGGAGTAATTAATTTGTAATGAAACGTGATGAGCAAATATCTCACCTCATTGTCATCTCCTGTTATTTTTTAAGTAGCTACAAAGAAAACAGTTCTTAATTTTTTTATCTCACTATTCCTTTTTTGAAGGTTCGAATAAGGAGTGCATCTGAAGTGCTCCCTCTGAACTAAAATGAAGTTCTCATTAACTTTTCACAACGACACACTTTATCCACTGTGTTTGCCTCTTTTCATTTGCCTCTTTTTGTCACTTATTCGGTCAAATTTACGGTCATGTCACCTTTTTGCAGATCTTCTGATGTAGTTTTAAAATATACTCCGTATAAATTCAAAGCCCATGAACTTCATTTTGGGACGGAGGGCACGGCGTCATTGAGCCCAACCAAATGAGACTAAGGCCGGCGCTGATGATATAAATTCAAGACCTAAGTTAAAACATGCAATTCATATACTCATTCAATGAATGCAATGTACGATTTCAGTCTACAAATTTCATTTTTAGAACAAAAAAGAGAGAAAGAAATGCTTCTACCTATCATAATTCTGAATCCAAATACAAGACAAAGATAGACAAAATGAGAATTCATCTTGAAAAACAAACTATATTTCAACATAGGTGGATAGTCGAACAGTCATGATCAACCACAGTATATAATCATATGCAGAACAAATCTCATTTGCTAAAAAATCAAAAATTGAATTCTAACTTATTCAATACTCCGTAACTGAGAAGCCATAAAACGATATGACATTTATTGGATACTCAGAATCTTGACTTTCATGATCTCCTTCACTGAAACAACAAACCAAAATATAACACACCAACATATAAGAGTTCGAATATATCTTTACAAAAATCCGAGTTATACAGAAAAACCTAATGAGAAGCAGAAAACTTGAAAATGCATTGTAGTTTTTGAAAATATAAGTTGCTATTCTATTACCAAGGCATCAGAAAATCCTAAAATCGGATGAACTGAAATCATCAAACGCCAACAGGTCAATGAATCAATACAATAAGATGAGTTTGCAATATAGAGAAGCAAAGAGGGAATCGTGCTCACGATATATAAGTTTGAATCCTTATAAATAAACTGTATTCCCAGAGACGACCGGGTTCGACCTCAAATCGACCTAAATACTGAAAAAGATAGAAATCAGAAGCTAAAACTCACACAGTGCCTTCGATCGGGAGTATCCAATCGAAGAAGAGATCGAAGTTTTTGATGGGATTATTGCAGAGACGATGGGAGAAATCGCCGGTGAAGAAAAGACGGCCGCTGTCTAATTGCGCGCAATAGTTGGTCGGGGTTAGAAATTAATTTACACTCATTTTTTATACCGATTCAAAGTAAATATTCTATATACTCCCTCAGTTCCCATTTGATTATAAATTGCGGGTTACGGAATAAAATTTCTTACTTTTTGAAATCATTTTATTTACAAATTGTTATATCAATAAAATATAAAAATTACATATTAAAAAACTACGTCAAAAGATTCTACAAAACAAGAGGTGACAAGAATATTTTATTTTATCAAATACGTAATGAAATTGCGTAAACAAACAAAAGTTACCGAGAGGAGAAAGAAAAAAATTGTAATCTATTTGGGGACGGAGGGAGTACTATTTTCTGTGTGTTTAGTTTGACTTTTTTTTAGTTAAATTCGATAAATTTTAAGATTCAATTACTCTTTATTTGTATAACATATTAGTAGAATGAAATAAAATTCCGGTAGACCGTAATAAGATAAATGTAATAAAATTGTTTTTATACTAATATACATTACAAATTTTTGTTAATTGAAGCTCAGAGCTCATCTTATTTGACTCGAAAAAATTAAATTGGACAAATACACTGGGATGGAGGGAGTAATACATTTTCGTAATATTTTATTACTTTTAGTTATTTATTTATAATAAATATATTTAATTTTTGGTTTAGTTATAATAACATTTATGATGTGCATAATATAACCAATTTATTAATAATATTTTTTAGTATTATTTCAAACCAAATATTGAAATAATTGTAAAAACAAATTTTTGTTAGGAATACACCAACATTTGTACATCAATGGTACACCATGCTTTTTACAGACACATAAACAACAATTATCTGTGACTGCACAGACATTACAATTATTATTTGTGTACGTTTGCGACAAATTTGATATACAATTAGTGTATAAATATTAGTGTACCCCTGTTTTTTTGATAAGAAATTAAAAATAAGGTGAAAAAAAACACAGTCCACAATTTTGCAACCACTAATCCACTATAGGCTTTCGTGGACGTCACTGCTAGACAACCCAGTCAGCATCAAAAGAAATGTCACAGTGATGAATTCTTTTGGCTTTTGCCCATTTTATAGAGAGAATTGTATGTGAACACAAAGCATGTAGTAAAAGAATCCCATCTATTAGCCATTCCTTCTCTTAAGTCTTACCCCCCATTTTAATTTTTACATTTCTCAAAGGGTAAAAAAGAATTACTCTCATAAAAGTGATGTATAAAACAAGTTTCTCATAAAAATAAAAATCTTGAAAAAATTCAATCTTTTTTTGAACAAGTTTTGTTTAAAAAAATCGTTTTGCCTCAGTTCTCGGGCAAACATCCAATGGTTTGAAACATAGTACTGAACACCTTAAACAACAACAACAACAATAATAATATTAATAACAATAAAAATAATACAGTAATAATAATAATACAAACCCTCAATTTTTAAGTTACAGTAGAGTACAACATATGTAGGGATATTGGCCCAAACCCAATATCCAACCCCCAAACCCCTTAAAAAGTAGGTTATGTGCGAACAAACAACAAACCATGAAATATACTGACAGTAATATAGACAGAACAGAGATAACAAGAGGAGAGTACCGCGAAAACAACGCAAAGTATCACTCTTCTTCTTCCTTCACAAAGAGCAGCCTTTCAGAACAGGCCTGGTCGAACGGTAAGCGTAATTCCTCACAAACTTCTGGTAAACAATGGATCCACCACTCCCAAACTCTGCCTTGCACCTCTCGCCAAGAAAGTATCCGTTCAAGTCCACCGAACAAACAGATTCCAGCGCCTTTGTTGCCACGTCAGCATGGACAGCAATGGAAAATTCTCTCGGCATGAAACACGCCAACACCCTCTTGATCAATTCCCCAAGATTCATAGCTCTGAGGTCATACCCAGAAGCTTCAAAGCTAGCATAGCTAAATCCGTCTTCTGGAGTGACATGGATGGTGGAGTGGGCTGTTCCTTCAATAGAATTCATTGAGTAACCACAAGGGTCAAACTCAAAAGCGCATATTTCAGATCTTGGAAGTATCTTCCTGATTCCAGATTCAACGGTCATGATCGCTGCTGAGCTAGAATCATGTTTGTAAAACACAGAAGCCTTTTTTCTCTCCAAACCAGTCATACACATTTCCAGTGTGTAAGCAGCATTCTTCTGGGACTGGACAGTAGTAGAAGAAGCTGAAGCAAAGTACACGTGCCATTTCTGTGGTTTGTTACAACTTCCCAAGATATAAGCCTCACTTCCTGAGCTGAGATTTCCGAAAAAGCCATTTAGAATGGCAACTTCTTCTGAGAAGAAACGGTGAGGAGATGGCTGAGCCTCTGGGAAGATGAAGCTCCCGCGGGTGTACCTCACGGATTGTACTTCAAGAGAGAGTGACCCGGCCAACTTCAAGATGGGAGGGATTGATAGGAGCAGTTTGGTGTTTCCACATGTTTTGATGACTATCTTGTAGGGATAGACGAAGAGGCTTGATTCAGAGAGGACGTAAGAGTCCACAAACTCATTCGACAGCGAAGAAACTATTGTGCACTCGGCAGGTCCCAAGAACTCGTCTAACTGGGTTCTGGAAAGGGATCGAAGGCCTTTCCCTTCAGCATCGGCAAAGATGCTGGGTGAGAAGAAAGAAATTTCAAGCCTCTTCTCATACCCTTCGAAACCAATTGCAGAGACCGACATGGCCATTTCCAAAAGAATGCAGTTTTTGAAGCCAGAAACAGTTTCAATGAAAACCAAAATGGGAGAAAAATATATAAGCGTAAAGGTGAAAGAAAAGGCGGGTTTTTGTATTAACTTTTTAAAGAAAACAGAACAGCAAGTAGTTTTAGTTGCACCACGTCAAAAAAAACGTGAGCCAAGCACCAGTTAATAAATATCAGGATGGTCTGCGAGCGCACTGCACAAAAGAGTTAAACAAAAATAAATAGATGTCAATATTATCAAATGATTATCCATGATGTAAAACAAAAACAAGTTTCATTCAACAAAGGGGGTCGTGAACTTACGTTTGAGTACGCAGCAGATCTGAACCTCTTGACTCCACCGTTTGGTCGGACGTCTTCAATGCTATAGCCAAGGGGAGCATCGTAGAATATGGATGTACTACTACTATTACTACTACTAGACTTCTTCTTTCCCCCTTTGGACTCCATTAGATCATTCAGTCTTAACTGCAAATGTTCATTTAGATCTTTTAGTCAGTGATCGTTAGACATACAAGAGCGCACCAAGTCCACCAAAGTTATAAAGAACACACCTTCAATACATGCATCACTAATACAAGTAATAAAGCTTCAATATCTTTAGATTTAAAAAAATTGATCTCAGGGCTACATGTGTGTAACACAAACAATACATAGGGCCTGTTTGGGAATAGAATTAGAGATTAGCGTTAGCGTTTTAGATAAAATTTTGACGGTGCAGATTACTTTGAAAACGCTAACGCTAAACGTTGCCCGTCGATAGCCTTTTCAAAACGCTAACGCTAATCGCTAACGTTATTCTCAAACAGGCCCATAATCTCCCTTAGAGTCATGTCGGAATTCCGCAATTCAACCAGAAAAAATCATACGTAGTAGCAGTAAATTTCAAAGATGAAATACAACTCATTCCAAATCCAGATTCATCTTTCAATTTTAAGGAGAAATGTTTGAATTCAGACATAAACCAATCAAAACCCTAAACGCAAGCTTTAAGATAACAACGCATCAAACGCGAACATGTCAAAGAATCGATACAAGAAGATCAGAGTACGAAATAGAAAAGAAAAGACGGAATTGGGCTCACGATATATAAGTTTGAATCTTTATAAATAAACGGTATTCCCAGAGACGATCGGGTTCGAGCTAAAATCAACCTGAATCAAGAAAAAGATAGAAATCAGAAGATAAACTCACACGGCGCCTTCGATCCGGATTATTCAACCGAAGAAGAAATCTAAGTTTTTGATTGAATTCTTACAGAGACGATGGGAAATCGCCGGTGAAGAAAAGCCAGCCGCTTTCTAATTGGGCGCAAAATAGATGGTCGGGATTAGAGTTGTAATGAAGATCAGGTGTAAAGCTTAAATACAATTTTTTTAAAGCATTGAAATTATAAATATTAAAATAAGAGAGAGTACCATAGTCCATAGATGATACTCCTCCGTACATTCCAAAGATTCCTCGTTATCTCTCTACGACTTCGTGACCTGGCGCCCGTAGGGATAAATAAGCATTAATTGAATTCTTTTATGATATGTTTGGAAACATGGATTTTACTCAAATTCCATGTTAGAGAAACTTATAAATTTTGAATTAGGTTTTGAATCGAATTCTTCTCATTCACAACAAAGCTTAATTTATTTAAAGAGAAATTTATCTAAATAGAACTAAAACATAATAACATAGGACCATATGTTTTTATTTGCCAATATAGGACCTTTGGTCATTATCAAGTAGTCATTATTCAACTAAATGTCCATCATTACTAGACATTATTCTTTCCACAAGGTCATTATTAAGTCCTATTTAGGGAATAAAAAAGTTTAAATCCTACATTAGGAAAGTCATTATGTTTTAGTCCTATTTAGTGCAAATTTCACTAATTTAAATTCATGCATCTCTCTTTGTCATTTGAAATTCGAGATTTCAAATTTTGTAATTGAAATACATGAATTGAAATGAAATCCTAGTTGCCAAACACTACCTTACTCCTTTCCTTTTCAGTTTGATTACAAATTAGGGTTTACAAGGAGAAATATTTCACTTTTTGAAATTATTTTATTTACAAATCGATATATTAATAAGAATAAAAAATTACATATTAAAAAACTACGTCAAAAGCTCTACAAAACTAGAGGTGACAAGAATATTTTGATTTATCAAATACTTAATGAAATCGCCTAAACAAACAAAAATTATCGAGAAGAGAGAAAAAAAATGTAATCAAATAAGGGACGGAGGGAGTATTATATATTAATTAATTAAATTAAATATAATAAAAGTATTTTTGAATCAACATTTAATTTCTTTTATTTAACTTGAGGTCAAACTTTACCAATTTTGGTTGAAAAAATAAAAAGTGAACAAATACTCAGAGATGAAAAAATGTTTTTGTTTGAAATAAAAAGATTAATACATACCTCATTTGTCAAATTAAATAATTTCATTTTATTTTTAAAAGAGTGTTTATTTTTTTATATGCCGGGACTAAAAGAATAATAAGTAAGATCTTCTTAACTTATGGTTAATTATATATTAATAACACTTTTAGACCGATGTGCAAAAGATTTCTTTCATGACTTAATATATTTTCCCATTTAATACAAGTTTTTTATCATATACGGAGTACTTTTCTTTTTTTATTTTATTTTTGATTAAAATAAAGTATTCATTAGATTGCATTTTTTTTCTTATAGTGGAGTGGTTTTAAATATTTGTATACGTACATAGAGAGTCCTACTACTAGTTTGTTAGAGAGAATACTACACGGATTACACCATGAACTTCTTCTTCCATTTGTACCGAACCATCATCCCATATCACCATGTTTGCGTCCATCGCCTGACCCCACGCGCCCATATTCTCTCATTCTTTAGTTTCTTCTCATCTTGTCTTATTCTCACTACAGATTCCATACTTCATACTTATGACTTTAGATTTTTGAATTAAGATTTTTAATAAATTCATCTTAGGCCCCGTTTGGTACAAGGAATTCAAATTATGAGTAAACCTTTTTTTTTGGAAAACATGAGGAGTAAACCATTGAGACAAGAGTAATGTAGAAAAAGTTATGCATATAATTAATACTGCTCATTTGCTTCTCCATATTGCACAATAAAGCAAGCCAATGAATAAGTACCCCAAAGAATACATACAAACCAAAAACCTATATTCAACAGGGTAATTATAGTAGTGATCAGTCTCAATCATCAAAGGAGGACCATAGACATCAAGGAGTATGGATTCTCTCCTTCTAAACAACCACATTGCATTAACAATATGTTTATGTGCTTTCTCAACTCCCATCTCCTCATCATCCTCACCACCAACCTCCTTCAATCCCAACAAACACTTACCAACACATCTCGCCGCGAACCTCATCCCAACCCCAATGGCGCCCGCCTCCTCAAAAGTCAATCCCCCCATGCTCGACGAGTCAACGCCGAGTAGGCCCACCGACTCATTAACGCGACTCATTGAGTTGTGCACCAATGATTGGCACCGCGACAACGCCAGCCTAGCGCCCAAAGGCTTATGGCTGGCGTTCGACCGGTCAAGAGCTTTGGTTAAGGACGTGGCGGTGTTATTGAGTTCCTCGAAGGCGGCGCGGAGAGCGGTTGAGAAAATTAGGGCGGGGTTGGACCGGAAGGCGGTGGCGTTGACGGTGGAAGACATGGCGGCGAAGCACAATTCGTCGTGGGGTGTTAGGTTGCAGTAGTAATATTGAGCGGAGGCGGAGAGGCGGGGAGTGTCGTTGCGCTTGAGGGACGAGGGAGACGTGATGATGGTGCCAGCTGCTATGAAGAGGGTGGTCACTAGAACAACAAGAGCAAAGAAGATTAGGGTCTTGAGTTTTTTGGTTTTTGGGTTATTTGGTGGAAAGGGTTTTTGGTGTGGTTGATCATTGTGAAGAAGAGAAATAGTGATGCTTTCATTACTGGATGAATCCATCATCTGTCTTGAGCTTTTTTTATGATGATGATGATGATGATGATGATGATCTATATATATTTATGTATGAGATATGTATAATTTGAGGAAAATTATGAAGTCAAGTCAACTCTTGTTTGGAGTCAAGTCAACCCTTGTTTGTTGAATTATGACTTTAAGAGAGCCAATAATTGGGTTAGTTGCGTTAGAACATTAAGGGAGTGTGACCACTGACCAATCAATTATTTTATTCATTTTTCTTAGGGCTTCTTCCATTAGTTTTTTTTTTTAAAGGAGACTTTGACTATTCTTTGGTGTTGAACTGTAATTTGAGTCTTGAAAAATAGTACTGCTGTTTTTGTGGGCTCAAGGAATTATTCATAAAAATAACTTACATACTTTGGTTTTCAATTCCTTGCAGAGCAACAAATTGTGGTTTTGTCAAATTACTCAAAACAAGTTGGGAAATACTCTGCTTTTAATCTGTAAATAGAAGAGTGAAAGATGATTAAATGGAAGCAAAAAAACAGCTCATTGGGAAGCATTGCTAAAAACAGACATTTGGTTTGCTCATTGTGCCAATTTCAAGCTCATCATCTGATAATAAACCAGTGACTAATATGAAGCTGCAAAAGTTGTAATAGGTCAGGGAGCAAATCAACTAACCAGTCTGGCAGTGCTACATTACCTGTCCACGAGGATATTTCGGGACCGAGACGTTTTCAGATCGGGATAACGGGATCGGGATTCTTGTCCACTCCTACTCGCACTGCTTTTGCTGACCGATTAGTTTTCAGCTTCTTGTCTCCGATTTATCAAGTATGCTGTTTCACAGACATGGGTGGTGGGTTATCCTTAAAAAGGTTTGCTTTGTATGTATAATCTAAAAGTGATTCAAAAAATAAAAAGAATGTAGAAACTTGATTGAAAGGGTGTAAAAAAATAATGTACAAATTACTTGAAATAAGCCTACTTTTTAACATTTTTCTAAACATAATCACCTATTTCACTGTCACGCGTAATAACCTCATCTTTCCGCATGTGTTCAAGTTTTGTGTCATCATTAAGAAGATAACTGTAATATAACAGGTTTCTTTATAAATTGCCCGTTTTGCGCAACTAAGTGAAAGGTAAGGCTATTTGAGATCAATTATTCTTTTTTCAACTTTTTTGAAATTTTTTTAGTTTTGAAATTATGCTATTAAATGTAACTATTCACAAATTGCTAACAGATGCACTCTTGTTAGATATTTGTCTCAAAATTCACAAATTCATATATTTGCATTTGTTTTATTGCATAAATATCTTTAGGATAGGAATTAGGGATGTGAACAAAATTTGAGGCAAGCCAAGATAAGATTGATATCTTATTAACTTTGATGGTTCCTTTGTGATCTCTAATGGTTTCACACCTTATGTGAATTTCATTGGAGTTTTGTTTGACATTTATATCTCTTGTCATTAAAACCCTTAATGCCTTTTTCTCAAGGTAATTATAAACAGAAGCATATGATATGGACTTTTCCTTCTTCTTTTTTTCGGGCCAAAACCCCTCACTTTTCAACCCATTTATTTTGTACTCAGATTTTAATAAGAAAGCACTAACGACTAGAATGGAGCAGCGCATTTGTAAGAGTTAGGGAGTAAATCAACAAACCAGGCTGGTATTGGTACGCTTGGTGTCCTTGAAGACAATTTTTGCCTTTGTAGATGCGCGAGGGACACAGAGCAACTCCCTTGGAAATCTGAAAGCCACAGAGGCATCAATGTCATTTGCTTCCACAATCACAAGTTTCTCAAGTGCGGGGGAATTCGAAATGATCGCTTTCACAAAGAGCATTTCCTGTCTTGATCCCGTGAAAGATTCTATCTCGACCGTTTGAAGCTTGCACAAATCCTGATCATTCAACCAGCCACTTGAATCTTCCAACAATCTTGGAGAAGTTTCACTCGCATACTTAAAACATGCCTATAAAAGAAAGAAATATTAGTAGAAGAAAAAGTTAAAACATGGGTGTTACATTAATCACCATATACACCGATTAAATGATGCATATTACAACCTTATCTCTCGACATGAATTTCAGTACACGCAGAGTTGGGCATTTTTCAAGGAGTTGAATTAAAGTAGTTAAGTCATCAGCCTCTGCAAAATCGAATTCATACAGATAGAGCACTTCGAGATTCATTGCAGTTGAGAAGGAATGAACAGCTACACCTGGATATGTATGCTTGAAAGAGAGAAAAATGAGACATTTCGTTCAACTGAAATGGTGTTTACTGTCCGATTTGTCTCTAATTACAACATGAATGGACGTTTTATGGAAGAAAAGAATCTCACCAAAAGATATTCTGCAGACAAGTGAAGAGTCTTAATGGTTTGAAAATGAGACTCAACCCATTTTGAGCCAGTCTGAGTGGATTCAAACCTCAAAAGGAGGATATTAGATGGTGGATTACTCATAAGAAAATCTAGCAACCCATCACGGCAAAGGAAAACCAGCTTCTCAAGATTAGGAACATAAGGGGCAATTCCATTGGCATGATGCATAGAGACCACGCAGTCCGTCAATTCTAAAGAGGTGAGGCCAGAAAATACACTACTGAGTTGAGCATTGGCCGGGCAATAAAATTGAAACCTTCAAGTTTCAACCGCTTTATTGTTTGGCAAGAGAATATACAAAACGGGAGTTTATACCGAGGCTCTTCTACATTGTCTTCAGCAGTCGGGCTGGCGAGGTGAAGATCCTCAATGCCATTTCTTGACAGATAACGACACCAAAGTTCTAAATCAAACTGCAGCGGGTGCGGACCAGGTTTTGAAATCACAAGCTTAAATGTCTTGACAGGCCCGGAACGGAGCATGAGAATGTCAGTTACCTGTTATAGGGAGATTAGCTTAAGGGAAGTTAATTAGAGGCTGTTAGCAGGTTTGTTACAGCAGTTGCAACTCTAACCAACTAGATATTCATATAAATAGCTCTCTCAGTTGTATGTTTTGCCATGATGTAAACACCTTCATTTCTATCCAATTTCTCGGATTTGAACCATTGAACTCAGGAAACTCAATTTTAGGTAAAAATTTGAAAGAACTTTTATCACCTCTTTCATTTCCGGGATCTGCGTTCGTTGTCGTTGCTACTGGACTTTTCCAGCATTTTCTGTTGCTCAGCTCTGAGTTCCTCAATTTTCTGATTCTATAACGCCAATTGCTGCTCCAGAATAGCCCTTAGATCAATTGATTGTTTTGAACATTATCCATGTCTGATTCTTGGTCTTCCCTCGAACGATTCCTTGTTCGTGCCAGGATTTGAATAGCTCTGATACCAGTGATGAAGATTCAATGCAAGAAGCTACTAGAAATGAAGAAGAAGAGCTTCAAGGATGAATCGCAGGGAAGCAGAATTACCAGATTCAAAGAGAGAGAGAAATTGGATAGAAATGAAGGTATTTATTCATCATACCAAAACATACAACTGAGAGAGCTATCTATAAGAATATCTAGTTGGTTAGAGTTGCAACTGCTGTAACAAACCTGCATCTAGCTAATCTCCCTATGACATTACCATTTTCACAAAAGCCGCTCGTTTATTTCCTCCCCTGCCCGATTTGGTTTTGGTGAAGTCCCAATCAAAGACGAGGCGGCCTTGGCCGCCGTTCCAGTGAGTTGAGAGGAGAGCAGTTCTGGCGGCTTCTCGAGTGTCCAAACACTCCAAAATTCTGTCCTTCAAATCGTCTGGGAGTTGGCTTATCCTATCTTCTTCTGCAGCTTTAAATCGACGACGACTAGCCGCCATTCGGCCGAAACACGACACCTAGCTGAGATTTCTAGCCACACCAAAGAATTTTTGAAGGAGAGAATTAGGGCACCCAGAAGAAAATGGAGGGCCGATTGAGTTGTGGTTCTAGAAGCGGCGGTTCCCGTACGGCTCATGTAGAATTCGGATACTACTGATATCAAGCCATACTAAAAATCAATAGATATAATTTTGATGTGTATATACATATATTTTGCATATAAAAAATGTCTTATATTTTGAGATGTCAATAGAAAAATAAAATATAATACTCCGTAATAAAAAATTAAGAAAAATTATACTCCATATATAACAAATCGGATATACGAATAAACGTTACTTAAACGGAGGTCTATGCAGAGCGAAACATAAACGAACCGGATGTATGATTATCAAATCTATATCAGTTTACCAATCGGATATCTTTAATCAGATACGGATAATAACTACTTTTAACGAATGCAGATATTGTCCGTATAAACGTACACGGATGCGGACGGTAATCAAATTTTTGGTTATCCATATACAGCCCTATCAGGGCCGGTGTAGACATTGTCGGCGTCGGTGCGGGCACCGGCGCTTCCGGTACCGTACCGGACCGATTTTATCAGCCTTCGATTTTTTAAATATTTTTTAGTGATAATTTATAAATGTGTAAGTGTAAAGTAAAAGAAATTTATAACGTTTTATGAATTAGAATATCTAAAATTGTAATTTTACAAAAGGTTTATTCCATTTGTTTTACAAAACACTTCCGTCTTAATTTTTGGAGCACCCCCATAAAATATTTTTAACTCACCTAAAATGTTTAAAATACCCTCAAAGCAACTTCTTCTTGCAAAAAACTACACAATGAGGTGTATTTTAGATATTTTAGGTGAGAGAATAAGTGTTAGATGGGATGCACAAACAATTTGGGCGGAAGAGTTTTGTGAAACTAGAGGGAGTATTTGTTCGCATCTTTCATTGATTCTTTGATAAAATAAAATATTTTTCTCATTTTTCATTTTGTAGAACTTTTAAGTTGTTTTTAAATATATTTTTTTATTTTATTTCTTTACAAATTTGTAAAAAAAAAAATCATTTGAGAAGTTATAAGGTTTTGCATGTTGATCAAATAAGATAATTCTTTTGGTGACGATGAAAGTATTACTCATTTTTGTTAGAATCAGATTAGAAACGATTTTAAATACTCCATAAGAAGCTAGGAATAATAAATGAAAATGTTGGATTGGATAATTGTGATGGTAACTGTTGGGATATAGGCCCAAACCATATTCGCCCCAATGCGAGGGCAAAAATGGACCAAAACAGTAGAATGGCCCAAATGATAACAGCCACAGTACAGTCTTGGTTGAAGGCCCCATAGAACACCAGCATAGCCAAGTACAGCTCAATGGAACAATATGTGAATTCATCAAAACAATATTCGAAACACTGTGTTCCCTTTGCAAAAGATTGTAAGATGCTTAAGGCCTTGTTTATGAAGAGCGTTAGGAGTCTCTCATATGTACTCCATAATTATCATGCAAAACCCCATACTTATTAAAATCATTTTATTTAAAAATTAGCATTGAAATATAAAATGAAGCTTATATATTCAAATACTACGTCAAAGATTCCACACACAAAAAAAGAGATGACATAATTATCTTGTATATCGAATTGCGAATGAAAATACGTAATTAAACAAAAATTATCAAGAAACCGAAAGAGTAACTATTCAGTAGTGTTCCTATTAGTAGTTAAAGCGTTGTCATGAGTTCCACCGCTCTTGGTTCGGTGTCGCCCCTTCTTTGTCTTGGTGGAGGAATTATAACTCGTATCACCACCACGCGGTTATTTATATATTCCAGATGACTAATGGAATCACTTTTATTAGGTCCAAAAAACACATTAAAGAAATGAAAGAGTACAATGGAAGCTAAAGGAAAAAGGTTAGAAAGCTTAGCTAATGTTCTCATTCTTTAGGCCTTTTCTTCCACACTTGTTTTCTTTACCAGAAATTTCACATTTCAATCTGAAGGCCCCCTAGAACATTTTGACCCAAGCTGATATTGATTCAGAACATATATAGAACGCATTCATGTTTCAAGAACATTTTTTTTTAGCTCATTTGAATATCAAACTTTGATTCCTGATTAGGGTTCATGTCGATTCATCCAAGCTAAGAAACAAGCGAGTTTGTCAATTCCTCAAAACAATATTGGTAAGTGGAAATGCTCTGTCTTTCCTTTACAAAAGATGGTAAAACAATTAATTGAAAACAAAGAACTCCTCCTTGCTCAAAACAAGATGCTCATTTTGCACAATCAGGCTTATCGAATAGACTAACAAACCAGTGACATACATGTAGCATCAAATTTGTAAGAGTGAGCGAGTAGATCAACTAACCAGGCTAGGATTGGTCTGTTCAGCGTCCATCGAAGATAATTTGTGCTTTTGGAGATGCGCGCCGGAAGCTGAGCAACTCCCTTGGAAATTTGAAAGCCACAGAGGCATCTATATTAGATGATTCTTTGATGACAAATTTGTCTAGTGCAGGAGAACTTGAAAGGATTGCTTTCATGAATAGCATTTCTTGTCTTGATGCGCTGAACGTTTCTACCAACACTATTGCAAGCTTGCACAGATCTTGATCATCAAACCAGCCACTTGGATCTTCCAACATTCTTGGAGCAGCTTCTCTAGCATGGGTGGTAGAACATGGCTATAAGCCAAGGAAACGTTAGTTGTTAAAAAAACATTAAAACACGGGTGCAACATTATATGAAACACCAAATACGTGGACTAAATGCTGCATATTACAACCTTATCTCCCAACACGATTCTCAACACGAGCAAATTTGGGAATCTTTTAAGAAGCTGAATATAAGTAGTTAAGGCCCCATCCACAGCAAAACTGAATCTAAACAGACACAGTCCTAAGAGATTTGATGCAATTGGGATGGAACATACATCTACTACACCTGCATGTGTACACTTCAAAGAGAAAAACAAGATGTTTTATATATGTATAACCAAATCAATATGAATGGAAGTCTTTCTGGGCAAAGAGAAACTCACCAAAAGTGTTTCTGGAGAAAGCATAAGAAGCTTAATCGTTCTGAAATGAGGCTCAAACCATTCCCAATCTGTCTGAATGGGGGAGTACATCACACACAGGGTTCTAAGTTTTGGAGCACTAACCACAAAATCTTTTATATCACCACAGGGACAGAAAACAAGCTCCTCAAGATTCGGAATTGTAGGGACAGTTCCAGTAGGATGATGCATACAAACCACACAATCCCTCATGTGTAAAGAGGTGAGGCAAGAAAATATGCTACCAAGTCGAGCATTAGCCGGAAAAACAATACTGAAACCATCAAGTCTCATTTGCTTTATTGTATGGCAGGAGAATATACAAATGGGCAATTTATACCTCAGCTTTCCTCCTTCTTGATCAACTGTTGAGCAGGCTAGGTGAAGTTCCTCGATGCCATTTCTTGACAGATGACGACACCAAACTTCTAAATCGGACTGCAGCAACTTAGGGCCAGATTTCGGAATTACCAGTTTAAATTTCTTGACAGGACCCGAACGGGATAAGAGAATCTCAGTTACCATTTTCACAAAATCCTCTCGTTTATTGTCCTCGCGAGTTCGCTTTCTGCCCGCTTGGGTTTTGTGGAAGTCCCAATCGAAGACGAGGCGGCCATGGCGCAACCAGACGTCCTTCCACTGGGTTGAGAGGAGAGCAGTTCTGGCGGCTTCTCGACTGTCCAGACACTCCAAAATTCTGTCTTTCAAATCGTGTGGGAGTTGGCTTATCATATCAACATTTGATGCACCTTTGCTTCCAGCAGCAGATTGAGGAAGAAGACCAGCGGCCATTCGATCGAAAAAAAATGAGAAATTGAATGAAATTGAAGAACAAATTTGGGGAGGATGAAGTTGTTTTTGTTTCCCAATTCCAACCCGATACACTCGGACGTCATGTGGGGCCTAGTTTGATGAAGAAAAAAAAAATTAAATTCCATAAAAAAAATTCTCATCCTTTTAGATATTTAGTCCCTACATATCAAATATTACTAATTTAGTCCTTAGTTATTACGGAGTATATTCATTTCCACGAATGATCCTTTATTAATATTTCCATTCAGAACGTGGATAAAGTTGTAAATTCATCCTCTTTTCTCTCCTCGATTCAGCTTCCTCTCTTCCCTCGTACTTCTTTTCCAAATCCGTCACTGAGTTTGAAGCTTTGAATCCAAAATTGGAATGATCACTCTTCTCTCAATTATTTGTCTAACTGGTGGAAACCAAAATTCGAAACGAGTAACCTTCATGGATGAGTTTTAATGTTTATTTTCTTTGCAATTTTTTGAGACTAACGAATAAACCTTATCCATAAAATTTATTTATTTTGATTTTAGGTTCCACTAAGAACACTAATAATTCAGAGAGGAATGATAATTTTAATTTTGAGCTTAGAGCCTGAAACTCAGCGACGAGTCTAAGAAATAGTGCGAGAGGAGAGAGGAAGCCTAATTGAGGAGAGAGAGAAGTATGAATGTACAATTTTATTCATGTTATTAGCAAAAACTTTTAATAAAAACCATTCGTAAAAAATGATATAATTTTTGAGGACTAAATTAGTAATATTTGATATGTAGGGACTAAATATGTAAAACGATTTATAATTGGGACCTATTATGAAATTTACTATAAAAAAAAAGATAAGGTTAAAAATATCATACTCCGTGTAGTAATGAATTTTCCATTTTGAACAATTTACAATATTTTATTTTGTTCTTGTAAAGTTTACATGAATATTTCAAGAAATTTGTGATTTTACGTTAATACTCCCAAATTTAGAAAATTACACCATTGGTCTTAGAAATTACTCAATTACACACCAACACTCCAAATTGCCAACTAAGTTGAATATATAGTAATTTAAATGGTGGCTAGATAATTATTGAGTATGAGTTGTTAATTAATTACGGAGTACAAAAATAAAAAGAATAGCTTGAATGGGTTATAATTACCCCCCCTTATTGACTTAAAAAACGTGTTAAAATTATAAAATAAAGTCTTTATATTTTGATTAGATAAATTATAAATAATGTTTTAGATAAAAATTTAGAGAATGTTAAAGTTGATATAACGCTAAAAAACTAATTTCAATTTAATAAGAAATAAATCTAAAAATAAATAGAGTGGTGGATTTTAATATTTAGACTTATACAGAGTATTAATATTTCGTCCTCCTATTGTTGAAAAATCAAAATAAAAAAAAATAAGAAAAACAATAGTTTCTTATTAAAACTCAAAAAAATGGAAATAAAAATAAAAAAGTTATTTTCTTTCTTCAAAGTAATTTCATTTTTGTTATTTCTTAATTAAAATGATATTATTTTTTTATTTGTTTATGGTTTTATTAAGATACTAATTTTTTTATTTTTATTTTCATATAATTATATTTAGTGCTTCTGCTTTCAGCTTTTATAAAAATTACTTTACTCACAAGTTAATCATTCGCAAACACTCTCTGAATCAATTTAGCATTATGGTATTGCTATATTTAATGCATTGGCAACGGCGAGGCAAATGCCCGCCACACCATGCCACATCAGCTTTGCCATGCTTGAATGCTCCATTCCTCCAACGCAAGGCATGTCTTCTGCGAGGCAGTCTTCTTCTTTTTTTTGTAGAAAAAAGGTTTTTTTTTTAAATGAAGTGCATATATTTTTATGAAAAAAAGATAAGTAAAAAAATTTTATAATTAAAATATGTCACAAAAGTGTAAAAAATGACAAAAATAATTACTTGCTACTGCATGACATGCCACACGGTGGCTGGACTCTTTTTGATTGGTTGAAATGCTCCAGGTCACCGTGTGGCATTCCATTTTTTACTTGCCATTGCCAATGCTCTTAGCGTCCAGGAAAACAACTTGTGCTTTTGGAGATGCGCGAGGGAAGGAGAGCAACTCCCGTGACAATTTGAGAGCTTCAGCATCATCATTCAAAGTGGTATGATTCCTTGATAATAAGTCTCACAAGTGCGGGGGTTTTTGAAAGGATTGCTTTCACAAATACCATTTCTTGTCTTGATCCCGCGAATGGTCCTATCTCCACAATTCCAAGCTCGCACAAACCGTGATCATTTAGCAAACTGCTTGGATTTTCCAGCATTCTTGAAATAGTTTCTCCTGCATGCACGTGAGATGGCGGCTGTAACACATGAGAATAAAAACCAATGCATTAAAACATGGGTCTTCGGCAGACATTAATAACCAAATACGTGGATTATATATTGCATATAACAACCTCAACTTCTAGTGTCATTTTCAGTACATGCAGATTTGGGCATTGTTTAAGCAGTTGAATAGAAGCATTGAAGGTCTCCTCAGCAAAGCTGAAGTTATACAGCCGAAGTGCTCTGAGATTCAAAGCAGTTGGGAAGGAAGGTTTAGCCACACCTGCATTTTTAAACTTCAAAGAGAAAAAAGAACTACTTCACCAGGGAACATTATCTCTAACAAGAGAGAGATTTAAAACTAACCAAATAAAACGAAACATACGTTATATGCTCAATTGGAAATCAGGGGTCTGGGGGTCGTAAAATGTACTTCGAGAGTAAAACTTACCTCTACCCCTATCATTTTTTTGAATAACAAAGATAAACATGAGATATGAACAAAGGGTAATACAAAAGAAGAAAATATCTCATCCCCTACCACCCCCCAAGGAACAAACTATCACAGAATAATAGAGTAAAGTGAATTGTTTACCCTCGTAATCTTTAGAAATTGCATGCTTTACCCCTGAACTATAAAAAGTGCACCGTTTACCCTCGAACTCTTCAAAAATTGCACGATTTACCCCTACATACTAAAAAATGCACCAAATACCCTTGAACAAATTAAACCGTTGCATCGTTGGTCCTAAACTATTAGATAGGGAGTGCGTTGCTTCCACACACAAGAATTGCGAATATGATTCATCTAACCCTTGTGAATTTTCCAAAGTACCTTTCCTCAAAATTGTCGTCTTTGTTTAAAGTTCATGAGTAAACAGTACAATTTTCGAAGAGTTTAGGGATATTTTGTGCAATTTTTATTGTTTAGGGGTAAAGCGTGCAATTTCTGAAGAATTCAGGGGTATGGTGCACTTTTTAATATTCGAGGGTAAACCGTGTAATTTTCAAAGAATTCAAGGGTAAACGGTGCACTTTTCTCCAAAATACGGAGTAATATACAACAGCAGTTTAAAAATCCAAAATTGTCTCTAATCAAACCATGAAGCAGTAGAAGAGATACTCACCAAAAGAAGTTTGGCTGCTATGCATAGAGCCCTTACTACTTGAAAACGGGACTTGAACCATTCCCAGTCTATCCCAACTCGCTGATCCCACGCACCGAGGAATTTCAGCTTTCGAACACTTGTCAAAAGATTTTCAATATGAACACAGTTATGGAAAACCAGCTTCTCAAGATTAGGGAAACTAGGGGCAGTTCCATTGGCAAGAGGCATAGAGACTACACAGTCAACCAACACTAAAGAGGTAAGGCAAGAAAATACACTACCAAATCTAGCATTATCCGGAAAATCAATAGTGAAACTATAAAGTGTCAGATGTTTAATTGTTGGGCAGGAAAATATACAATCTGGCAGTTTATACTTAGGCTGAGCATCATCGGTTGTGCGGAGGAGGTCAAGTTTCACAATGCCATTTCTTGACAGATAACCACACCACAGTCCTAAATCAGACTGTGTTGGCTCAAAACCAGATTCTCGGATTACAAGAGTAAATTCATTAACAGGCCCTGAACGGAGCGTGAGAGTTTGGCTTACCATTTTCACAAAAGCCGCTCCATTAGCGGCTTCTGTGAAGTCCCAATCGAAGACGAGGCGCCCGTGGCTCAACCAGACGCCCTTCCATTCTTTTGAGAGCAGAGCGATTCTCGCGGCTTCTCGAGTGTCCAGAAACTCCAGAATTCTGTGCTTCAAATCGTCTGGGAGTTGGCTTATCATATCATCATCCTGTGCGGGTTTGCTTCGAACAGATTGAAGAAGACTAGACGCCATTCGATCGGAAAAAAACTGAGATTGAAGAAGAAGATATTAGGGAACAAAATTAGGGACATATACTGGGAGCATTAGGTTAAACCATTGCCGCGGGGATCTAATCGTCCCACTGCATCGGGCTCTTTATAGAAATCATATTTTTTTAATTTGGGGGACTAGGGGTACATAATCCTAGAAAAAAAATTGATTTTGGGATAAATTGGAGAAATTCCAGACCGGTCTCTAGGCTAAAGATTAAGGATCGGTAAAATTTTGACCATCTTGATTCAAATTTTTCCGAGTTGAACTAGTAAAACCAAAATATAATTATTTTAATTTTTTTGATACTTATAATATAGAGTATGTGATAATAAATAAAAGTTTATGTTTTCATTTTTTCTTCTTATTTTTATTAAGGAGTATAATATTTAAAATGTAATATGTATTTTTTTTCATTTTTATTATTTTTATAATTACAATCATTGGCCTTTATCCAAGAATCTTCATAATGGTAAAAAAACTAAAATTATTTTAAAAAATGAAGTTTAATGTTTAATTTTGATTTAAAGTATTAGATACTTTAATTTGTAACTTATTGTTGCTAAAATGAAATACTTTAAAGTACAACTTTATACTATTTTTGAATTAATCTATGTTGTTTTGAATTATTTCACACAACAATGTCATTTTGATATTAGAATTCTTACAAGTGATATATACTATGTATTCATTATTTCATTAGTACTTGTAAATTTTTTGATAATGACATAAAACAATACAGATCATGTTACATAAGTAATATCTAATGCAAAATTAACATTGTTACTCTCATGTCGTTTTTGTAATTATTTTGATATATAAAATGTGAAGTAAAATTGTTTTTATTTGATCGAGATATCATTATATTATTCACATATAGTTTTTCTTTCAACTAAGATTAATAAAAAGCACTGATGCATTTGTGTTCTCATTTTCATTAATGGATTAGTGATATACAACTGAAAATAGAAATCATACGATTGATATCACTACTACATATCAGGGCTTTATCATGCTGTTTTTGACATTTGGTATTGATCGTGTACCGATGCAAACGCGGGCGGTGCAATTGCTCCAGTGCAATTGTATCGGTTGTAAAATAACTAATGCAATTGATATTTTTTCCTCCTAAAAAGATTGTAGTGGCATCTGTTATTTCGACAAATTAAACTGATGCCATTGCCCAATTATTTTTTGTATTTAAATTAAAAGAGTAATAGGATGGATCCGTTGTTAGCTAACAACTGATGCTATTGCTAAAGAGAAGTGCTAGAGTCACAAACACCTTGATCACAAAATACACAACCTTGCCATTTGTGTATTTAAATGCTTACTTTTTAATTATTTAACATTATTTAATTCACTTGGTGAGGTACACAAATGGCAAGGTTGTGTATTTTGTGATCAAAAAATTTGTGACTTTAGCATTTCTCATTGCTAAATCAATTTTTGTTTTACTTAATTTAAAAGAGTATTAACATCGGTTGTTAGCAAACAACCGATGCCATTGCGATTTTTTTATTTAAATTAAATAATGTTGACAGATTGGTTGTTACCAAATCACCGATGTCATTGCCCAATTAATTTTTTTCAAAAATTAAAATAGCAGTAGCATCGGAGGGCGACGGCGACCAAGCTAAGTTAAATTGAAGACGGAGGAGGTTACTTAAGTGAGGGGCATCCAGTGTCGAGGGAAATCGACGTACATTGATGATAATGAAGCAAGGACGACGGCGGAAGGAATGATGTGGAGTCGACGAACGGAGAAAGTGACAACGAAGAACGAAGGTGACGAATAAGAACGATGGCGATGAGCTGAGGTAGAACAACACAAATGAACGATGTATATCTGCCAAATCTACTTTTACCCAAAAATAAAGCTTTTAGCATTGGTTCAAATGAATAACCGATGCTATTAATGTTTTTTAATTTAGTTTCAAAGAATAAACCCTTTGGCATCGGTCCTAAACAACCGATGCCTTTTTTTAGATTTCAAAAAACACAAAATCAATATTAGCATCGGGTGTATGATATAACCGATGTCATCAATCAATTGCATTGGTTAACCCAAATAACCGATGTTAATATTCATTTTATTTTTTCGAAATTAAAAAATATCAGTGGCACCAGTTCATTTTACTGAGAAGTGTGTTTGTAAGGAATGTAAGATCTACTCTAATTACATTTCACACTTCTCGGGCCTGATTTGTCTTTTAACATCTAAGTTGAATAATGTTAGAAAGTTTAATGTGAAAAAAAATTTAATTAAATAATCACCAAAATATATAGCATTGAATAAAAATTAGTTTGAATAAAATTTTTTTATCTTTGTCACCAATTGAAGTGCAATATTATAAATTTCAATTAAGCTAGGGGTACACCAACAAAGGGTACCCCAAGTGTACACCAAGCCAACACAGACACACATAGACAAAAAGTGTCTGTGCAATACAGACACAAAGTATCTGTGTGTGTCTGTGTTCGTTTGATTTAGACTTGGGGTACGCCCATGTTCCCTAGCATTGCCCTATAAATTTAGACGCGGAGCAGATGATATTATTGGACATTCACTTAAATTGATTTTTAAAACGATTCTTGTAAATCCCAAGAGAGTTAGGTATCGGGAAACTACTTAATCGGTCCCTAATTTCTTCTGTGTGCCCTAATTCTTCTTCAATTCCTAATATTCTTCGCGTCACTTTCTCGATCGGATGGCGTCTAGTGTTCTTCGATCTGTTCGAAGCAAAGCCGCATCGGAAGACATGATAAGCCAACTCCCAGACGATCTCAAAGACCGAATTTTGGAGTGTTTGGACACTCGAAACGCCGCTAGAACGGCTCTGCTCTCAACTCAGTGGAGGGACGTCTGGTTGCGCCACGGCCGCCTCCTCTTTGATTGGGGCTTCAAAAAATTGGGCACAGTAGGAAGGACACGAATGGCTTTTGGGAAGATGGTAAGTGACATTCTCTTGCTCCGTTCCGGACCTGTTAAGACATTTAAGCTTGAAATCACAGAAGAATCTGGTCCTGAGCCAACGCAGTCTGATATAGAAGTTTGGTGTGGTTATCTGTCGAAAAATGGTATTGAGGATCTTCACATCTCCTTGCCAACTCGTAACGATGAGCCTAAATATAAACTGCCAATTTGTATATTCTCCTGCCCAACAATTAAGCATCTGTCACTTGGTAGTTTCACCATAGATTTCCCGGCTAAACTTGGCAGTGTATTTTCTTGCCTTACCTCTTTACAGTTGGTTGACTGTGTAGTCTCTATGCGTCGTGCCAATGGAACTACCCCTAGTTTTCCTAATCTCGAGGAGCTGGTTTTCGAGAATTGTGTCCAAATTGAAAATCTCTTGACAAGTGCTCCAAAGCTGAATGTCCTTTGTGCGTGGGATCAGCGAAGTGGGATACTCTGGGAATGGTTGAAGTCTCTAATTCTAGAAGTTACAACAGTGGGCATAGAAACCAAACTTCTTTTGGTGAGAATCCTTTCTTTTGCTTCGCGGTGCTATCCAAGACATTGTTTGGTTTTTTATTAAACTTTGGTTGTAGACTATTTCATGATAGCTTGTGCCTTTGGGGAGGGCGTGGGGTATTTTCCTCTCTTGTATTACCCTTTTGTTCCTTTCTCTTGCTTTTCTTTGTTTTTGAAAAAAAAAATGATGGGGGTAGGGATTCTTAGTATTTGAGCTAGGCGATTGTGTTAATTTTCCTCTATACCTGTCACCTTTGGATGAGGTTTTCCATTGTAAAAATATCCAATTTTTTAAACTCCTTCCAAAACATCCCTATATTCGCTTATCCCACTCATTACAGAAACAAGCTATATATTTAGTATTTACACATTGGGGTTACAGGTAAGGTCTACTGTCCAAGTATCTTTCACCCACCCCCACCCCCCCCCCCCCAGACCCTTAATGTTTCTCTTTGAAGTTTAAAAATGCAGGTGTGGCTAAACCTTCCTTCCCAACTGCTTTGAATCTCAAAGAACTCTGGCTGTATGAGTTCAGTTTTGCTGAGGAGACCTTTACTGCTTCTATTGAACTGCTTAAAGAATGCCCAAATCTACTCACGCTGGGAATCGTACTAGAAGATGAGGTTGGAATATGCAATATATAATTCATGTATTTGGTTATCGGTTATTATTATCTGCCAAATACCCATGTTTTAATGCATTGATTTTATTCCCATGTGTTATAGCCATCTTCCATGCATGTGGGAGAAACTATTTCAAGAATGTTGGAAAATCCAAGCGGTTGGCTTAGTGATCACGATTTGTGTCGGCTTGAGAATGTGGAGATCAGATCATTCAAGGGATCAAGACAAGAAATGCTATTTGTGAAAGCAATCCTTTCAAAATCCCCCGCACTTGTGAGACTTGTTATTGAGGATTCAGACGACATTGATGATGTTGCTCAAGCACTCAAATTGTCACGGGAGTTGCTCTCCTTCCCTCGCGCATCTCCAAAAGCACAGGTTGTTTTCGTGGACTCTAAATATAGCAATACCACAATGCTAAATTGATTTACTCCCTGGCCTATTACAACTGTGGAGTTAATTGGATTAGCTTTGAAGAGATGTTCCTGGATATGAGTTAAAAGTTTGAAAATACCAAAATAGGAGTCATATGTCTTTTTGAAACCAAACCAGAAGTATGATGATAGTGGGGCGTAAGAATACGCATTCACAGTGTGATAGAAAATTGATGACACATGTCAGTGTGATGAGTCAAGTGTCGGTGATTTGCAGCGGCACTCTAGTGGCCGGCGGAGACGGATGACAGGGTCGTGTTGATAATGTGACAATTACAATGTGACAATATAGTGAGCGTGGCAGTGTACCAATGACGGTGTAAATTCTTATATTGGTATTGAAACACATATGAATCTTATTTTGATATTTTTAGAGTTTTTTACACCTATTTAGAGAGCTTTTCCTTAGCTTTAATTGGCACAATGAATAGGTCTCAATTTTTACTTTCCAATGAGCAGTTTTTTCCTTTCAGTCAACCATCTCACAATGTCTTGCTAATTCAAAGCCGTCTTCAAAAAAAAAAAAAGCTTCCACTACGAAAAGAATGCGAATTTGTTAAATACTCCGTATTTGGATTAATAGCCCAACACTCCAATAACCGGTGTAACTTTTTTTTGTAAAAAGACTTGACGAGATATAAAACAAAATGAAAGTTTCAAAATATAGTTCTATGTTTTACTCTGAAATAAGAGTTTAATACTAACAATATCAAAATATAATATAAAAAAATACTCCCTCCGTCCCAAATTATAATGCATGTTCACTATTCACAAGATCAAACTTCATTCACTTTCTTTCTCTATTTTCGTTAGCAAATTGATAAAATAAAATATTGTTGTCACTACTAGTTTTGTAGATCTTTTGATGTAGTATTTTGATATGTAATTTTTATTTTTTAATTCTATACCATTTGTCATATAAAATGATTTGAAAATAACTTCAGTCAAACATCGTAAACCGAAACAGGCGTTATAAAATGGGACGGAGTGAGTACT